AAAAACTTTTTGCCCGACTGATTTTTTTTAAAAGAAAAAAAAAAAAAGTCTTACTTTGTGGCCTTCCAAAATAGGTAGAATTCACCTATGTGGAAACAACAGCAAACTAACACCAAGTGCCGGGATCCTGGATGTGCAGTTGGTGTCAGTGTTCATGTTCTAGTGAACACATGGGCTTGTTCAGAAACAAACACTAAAATGATTTGAGTAGAGCCTGCTGGTCACCGTCTGTGACCTGAGGAATCCCAAGCCTATGAGAAAAGCGCAAATTCACATTGTAGCACAGAATGCTAGAAATAGCACTGAATCAAAAGACTAGCCATGGGGAGCGGGGCAGGGCGGCTCCCCTCCCATGTCTCTCTGACCATCGTTCTCTGTTTTCTACTGTGACTTTGGTTCAGGAAGTTTTGTTTTGTGTTTTTTTTTTTTTTTTAACATAAGTAAAGAGCACATTTGCTCCGTCAAGTGATCAGATCCCGAATCCAGATTCCTAGTCATAAGGCCTTATCACTTCCCCAACAACCACAGTCCCCCTCACGTTAGTGATTAGGAGACTCTTTGTGGATGAGTGAATTTCACAAATAGCACAATTTCTGGAGACTGAGGATACAGGCCCTCGTTCGTCTTCTTCTGACACATCACCCTGTGACACTGACACGGCAGTCACAGGATGCCGATGTTGTGTTCATCAATCACCAGGCATTTGCACACTCTTAGCAACGGTTAGACTTTGGTTACTGCTTTCTCCCTTGAAATCCTTGCTGTGTGCCTACCGGGATTTCCTGAGAGTCAGGAGATGAGCAAAGGCTTGGTCTGCCACGAGTTAATGGAAAGCAGCCTTCTGTACAACAGATGGGGGAGTGAAGAGGACAGAATGAAAAATGAACCAACCTTTTTGGCTACTCGAAGGCCGAAGAAGCCAGAGTAGCCAAGGATCTCATGCCTGAGAGGCTATTCTTCAGGATAAGGGTCTTTGTGGGAGTTGCTCTTGCTGTGTAAAGCACTATTGTCTTGGGGTTGATCTCCAGGACAGTTCTTGGTAGGTTCTGCTGGGCAGAACGCATGGGTTAAATCTCCGTGGAGAGTTTTCCTTATCCTCTATCTGTAAGTGTCCTTCCAAGCAAGGTCGCACCCTAGGCAGTAGACAGGGACCCCTTCTACTGAACTTTTGAGGAAAGGAGGAAAGAAGAAATGCTTTTAGATCTTGGATGCAAACCTTTCAAAGGGCTACATGTAACCATATGGATCAACCACATGCACATCCTTACTATAGAATCCGTCCTTTCATTTCAACTTATAGCAAGCTATGATTTTTATATCTAAATATTATATAAATAATGTATAAAACATTAAAAGTTAACTATGTAAAATATTATTTCTGAAACAATTTTAGCTATATCCACTATGATTATAAACTGTGTCTCGACCTGTGTTATTTACATTAGCTGCTTAAAAAAGCATTGAGTTCGTTTTTTTTTAATATCAACTAAAATATCGTAGTTCTGTGGTAGACATTGTTTTACAATGGAAGAAATAACTACAACTAGAGAAAACTGTATAAAAACATTAAATTGTCAGTATTTTTGTAAGGTTCCATTTTGTAAAGAGAATAATATTCAAAGACTTTTGTAGCATACAAAGTGAAAACTTGTATCTGCGAAACTATACTTGTATTAAATGTGCTTTTTAAATAAAAGCTCATAACACAACTAATTAAGGAGTCAGAAGAAGTCTGAGTGTTTGTGGGCTGTTTGTCTCGGGGATGTGGGCCTCATGAGAGGATTTCACAGGCCGGCCTCTTTGGATGTGCCTCATCTCACGGCACCACCTCCTGATTCTTTCGGAGGAAAATACAGTGGCCACCGTGTAGATACCGATGTCTAAGCTGCACTTTCATCTCCAAAAGCCTGTTTGCATAGTGAGGCTCTGGCTCTACTCATCCCAGGCTCTTCTAAAGGGCTTTTGTATTCTAAAGGGGGTTTTCATCAGGGAGGGAGGAGCTATGGGTCACTCAAAGGCAGATAAGGAGCCAGTGCTCTAGATAAGGTGTGCTCCAGGAGCTTAGGACAGGAGTCAATTACACAGCCCACATCAAAGCAAAGAGAGTGCATGGCTGAGAACACATGTGGCTCCTGCTTTCCTTCCTTGGGTTTCCCCAACCTGGAAGAAAAGAGGAAGTTGAAAATTCACAACTATGGGCCACTGGACATTTCTGCAGATTTGTTCCTTTTGATCCTCACAGCTTAGTTCTTATTTTAAGATTACTAAGGAATGCAAAGATAAAGTGCTTGAACAGTCAGTTATAGGACAGATTTATGTGAGTGTCCTATGGCTGTTGTAAAAAAGTACCACAAACTGAGTGGCTCGAAACAACATGAATTTGCTCTTATAGTTCTGGATGCTTTAGGGGAGAAGCTGTTTCTTTGCCTTTCCAGCTTCTAGAGGCCACCCAAATTCCTTGACTTGTGGCCTTCTTCCTCCATCTTCAAAAGCAGGAACCTTGAGCTGAGTCCTTCTCATTCTGCAATCTCTTTGGTTTTCTTCTACAGTCCCTTCCACATGTAAGGACCCTAGTAATTACATGGGTCTGCTAGAATAATCTTTTATGTTAAATAGATTAGAAAATTGAATTCCATCACGTACCTTAATGGCCCTTTACCATATAATATAATATTCGCAGATTCTAGGTATGAAGACATGGACATCTTTGGGGGACCTTTATTTATTTATTCATTTATAGAGATTTTTGCTTTTTATTTATTTATAGAGATTTTGCATGTGCTATCACCAGAGAAAGAGAGAAATCACCCTCCAGTGGGAGTGGCCATGCCACAATCCCTTCTCCATTCTCTTCCTGGAATTCTGGGAATGCATACACACATGCCCAGTATGATTTTCAAGCTGCCAGGTCTGGGACTTGAACCGTGGTTGGCCATGTGGAAATCCAGCACCTTAATCACTATGCAACATGTTGGCCTCACGACCATTATTTTGACTATACAGATCACCTGCTAGCCCCCAAAGAATCAGATTTGTCCCACATGCAAAATAAATTCAGTCTATCCCAAAGTCCCCCAAAGTCTTAATCTATTACAGCATTATTCCAAAATCAAAGGCAGATAGTAGAAGGTGTGTGGGAGGGGAAAAAGAAGAAACATTTAACAGACAAAAGAATGTAAAATTCTTTGTTTAAAAAAATTGTCCTGTAAATTTTGCTTTATAAAAATATTTTTTAAAGGTAAATGAAGACAAAACAAATAAAAAAAAAAACACAAAATCTCATGTAAATCTTTTTTTTTTTTTTTTTGGAGAGATTTTGCACTATAGGGTGTGTGCGCTCGCCAGACAGACAGGGAGGCATAGAGACAGAAAGAGAGAAATCACCCCCCAGGGGGGATGGTCACGCTGCAATCCCTTCTCCATTCTCCTCTCGGGATCTTGGGCACGCACGCACACGTGCCCGGCATGAGTTTTAAGCCACCGGGTCCAGGACGCGAACCGTGGTCGACTACATGGGAGTCCAGCAACATAGCTATTACACTAACTGCTGGTTCCCTCATGTAAGTCTTATACACTGCAAATCTCCGAATCTCATCAGGGTTTAATACACCCTGAGGCCCAATTGTTCTCCATCTGTGAACATATAAAACTCAAGAAATTAGTTATCTACTCCCAAAATTCAGTGATGGGACAGGCTTCAAATAACAGTGATAAACACCCTCATTCCAAAAAGGAGAAAGTAGAAGGAAAAAAGAGTCATTGATCTCAAGCAATTTCAAAAGCTACCTGGGAAAGTTCCATTTGTTGTTAAGACCTAGAAATATACCCATGTGACTTGTGAATTGCTCTCCTACCACCAAGGTCAGCCTGCTTTCTGCTACCAGACCAAGCAGGTCCACACAGACCCTTGAACTAGCTCAGCAATTTGTCAGCATTTCTTCTTTTTTTTTTTTTCTTTCTGGTAAGTGGGGATTTTACCTTTGGACCTCAGAATGCAGCTAGGGATATCCTTAAGGCCAGAGTCCAAATTTTCACTTGAAATCTGAGGAATGCAGGTCTTGAGGGGCTAAATAACCCTTGCTGGTGGGAAGCAGGAAAGGGAAGACACGCAGAGGAACTGATGAGACCAGAACTAAGTCTCCTGACATGAGTCCTCCAGTCTTCTCATTATACCTTTCCAAACGTACTTCACAGACTACACTGTTCTCAAGAAGTAATGCCATTTCATGGTACTTTAGGGCAATACAGCGCTGCACCTCCCAATGTCCTTACCATTGCGGTAAGAAGCATCAAGCAGCAAACATGGAATTGGGGATTCAGACCTAGGTTGCAGTTTCAGCTCTGCCACTTATCGGCTGTGTGATGTGCCTTTGGGCAAGTTCCTTAACTTCGCTGATCCTTGGATTTTTTTTTACTCTACAAAGATGAGATTTATAAGACTTTCTTTCACCCCTTTCTACTTAGGGCATTCTCTGTTTATACCTGGGTTCTCAAAATGTGGTATACAGACTAATATTTGTATCCCTAAGGAACTTTGTAAGACAACCAGAACCCTTCCTCCATCAAGACCTACAGAATCAGAATCTTCCTTCAAATAAGATCCCCAAGTGATTTATATTCACAATAAATTTGAAAAATACTTCCACTTTGCCCTGGTGAACTTGCAGATTCTGCCTAGGTGGCTGGATCCCACATAATTGCCCTGTAACTGGCAGTTTACAAAACACAACAGGCGTG